ATTGAGAATACTGTGTTGGTACTGGGAATTGAGAGCAATCTGCTCGTAATCATTGTAGACGCATTTATAGCTTTGCTTAGGGGATAGGTGGAGAGTTGCAGCTAGTTTGAGTGATCGACGATTTCGGGAACGAGTGGGGAGGCACAAGGACTGGAGAGGCTGGCCTGTGGCCCAAACCCGCCCCCCTGCGTCTCCCATAGTGTGCGTCTGGGTACTGAAGGAAGGTTTCCCAGCCACTATGGGCACTCAAGGGTGTGTAGGTGTGCACCAACTGGTGCCCCCCCTCCTCATTCCCCCCTGCATGGCGGCTAGATCAACAGGGACCAGGTGCCGAGCTGGTTTCTGTCCCTTTCTTCTCTGAACTCTACCCTATGCTTGCCAGTCATAAGCGACTGGACTGCTGCCCCCCAGAATAGATGGGGCCCTGGTGTTTCTGAAAAAAAACAACAAAAGAAAAGCAAGACTGCTGAGGTCAAATGAAGAAATGGAGAGAGATAAAGAGTGGATAGAATGAAGAAGGAGAAGAAGAATTAGACAGCTGAAACCAATGCCGTACCCCTCACTTCTTCTCCCTCCCATCTTCTTCTCCCTTCCTCCTCCAATAATTGATTAAATACGGTGCCAAACGAATGAATGAACAGGAATCATGTCCCACTGTTCTTCCTTACTGCCAGCACTCAAAGAGCCCTCCTTTCAGCGAGAACCTCACTTCTCTTCTCTCGGCTTGTCTGCTTGCTTTTGGATGGTGTCCTGAACTCATGGCCTACATCAGCAAATGCAGCCATTGTGTGACTGTCTGGTTCATTCCCTTGGCTCATCTCTTAGTTTCTAAATTACGGCCAGAAGTTATCGCCAGCTGCGCTTCATAGAGATCGGCGGTTAAAGACTTCCACTGAAAACAAAGTGTGCATGCCAACCACTCAGGATGCTGTTTGGGGGGCCCACTCGAGGATGTCGTGTTTCAAGAATTCCTAGATGAACAGGTCCGTCGGTGCATGGGATGGTATGGGAATCGAAGTCACAAACTTGGACCAAATCATGATCGGTGAAAACCGGCTCCTACTTTCCTTGCCCATGTCAGTGTAAGTCAATTGAAACAAGGTTACCTGCCGCGGCTTCGCCGGCAATAAAATGAAGGAAATAGTGTTAAACTGGGGAATTGTTAGGCCCACCTGTGCATTGTTGTCGACTCCTCTCTCTCTCTCTCTCTCTCTCTATCTCTCTCTCTCTCTCTCTCTCTCTCTCTCTCTCTCTTGCAATTTTTCTTTTCTTTTTTTCTTTTTAAAAGGGGTCCCGTGGTTTTTCCTTTATTTTCTTCTTTTCATTTTAAAAAGGGGTCCCGACGGACAAAGGATCCGATATAGGAGACTCATGGGAACACATACCACACTCAGTGTTGTTGTTTTTTGTTTTTGTTTTTGTTTTCTTTTTTTTTGGGGGGATGGGGGGGG